TTCGACTGTTTTATTATGTATTAGAAACTTCTTAAAAATAAGGGATTTTTTGTAAATTGAAAAAAAGTAGGAATAGAAGGTAATTTATGTTTTACACTATGTGATTTACATAATTTTTACTAATTTAAATTAATGATTTGCTATTATATATAATTTTCCCTATAAAAAAAGATCGTATTAAAATATGAAATTATTATGTTGCAGCAGATCAGAAGCGGGTCAAGAATATCGAGTTAGATTTTTGATAATTCAATAACTATTACACAAATATTATATTTATATTAAAATTTTTACTAAATATATGAAAAAATATTTATTAAGAACTCGATAACAAAGCATACTTTTAGTCCAAAAACTTGCTTAAATTTCACTTTCGATTTTTATGAGGGTTTGATTCAGTGACAAATCTAAAATTTTTAAAATATGAACAAAATCAACAGAAGAAGGAAAAAATGTATTTTGTGGGAATCGATCAAAATGCATTTTATCAATTTTAGAAAATATATACATAATATACTTAATTTTACACAAAGGTCACGAGTTCACGAATCACACACCTCAAACTTTTACCTATAAATTCACCCAGGATTTGATACCTCCTCAGACTATTATAATAAAGTTTATTTTAAAAAAATTATTCCTTAAAATTATATATATAAAAAAAAAGCCTATAAATTTTAAATTTATTTTTGTGATCGATATGTGAATTACATTTATTTATTTGTTCTCTCTTTTGTTTTCCTCATAAACATTTGTTTGGATATAATTCCTTTTGTGATTAAGAATAATTACCAAGAATACTATTTATTTATTTTGAAAAAATATTCAATGGATGGTAATATTGGCTTTCAATGATGATAGTGATCAATTTTTTTCTACTTTTTGTCAATTTGTACTTGTAACATTTCATTTAGAACACAATCATATCAATCCTTAGCTAACGTTCGATCATAAATTTTCGAATATTTTTGACTAATATTATTTGAGCGAAAATTTTGTTAATCTTCTTGTAGCTGATGCATGTTAATCATGCATGATCATGGAGCTACAGTGGAGAAGAAGATGAAGAAAAGAAACAGAGAAGAACAGAGAAGAGCAAGGAAGAAGAAGCAGTATAGAGGATGGATTCGTGTGATCCTTGTGTATTCTTTCAAAAGTGTATTTGTAACCTGCACATTCAACTATATATATACAAGAATAACAAACTGAATTTATTCTAACTACTCTAACAATCTTCTAACTACTTTAACAATCTTCTAACTATTTTAACAACTTCTTTGATGGATAGTCCTCTTAATTACAATTATTTACATAATGATCCTAACACTAAAGCTTTAAGTAATCCCTTCTTTAATAAATTTGGATGAAATTTCACCATGTGTTTGACCATAGAATTTGGTAAATATATTTCACCTTTTTAGAAAAATATGATTTATACCAATAAGTTTTAAAAACTATCAAAACTAACTATAAGTTTGTATTACAAGTCAAATGGATCTTCGTTACAACAATAACAAATAGTGTCTATGACACTAGAGCAATGTACTAATTTGGAGTTAATGGAACATGCATTATTCCATACATAAGCACATGACTTTGTTACCTTGAGCTATTTTTTCATTAACAATCATATCATTATTTAATATTCACTAAATATTTCATCACAATTTTAGTGTTCACGTAAAATATTATGTAATACAACACAAACAACTACTATAGAGGGTGTTTTTGTAAAAGATAAAAATTTGGGGTAAAATTTTAATTTTCAAAAGATCTCAAATAATGAGATTTGACTCTAATATTAGAAAAAATTAGTATTTGAGAATTTGGGATATTTGTCAGATAATGTCAAATTGAATGGACAAACATTATTTGCCAAATTTTTTCCCAAATATTAGTAGGAAAATCTATGGCCAAACAGGGCCTTAGTATGTTTAGCTGTCATTTGCCAAAGTCAAAACCATACCCAATAAGCAAGAAGAGAAAGACCGAATTACCTATTGATCTGTGATTAAAGGAAACTATATCTAGAAAATGAAAAATAAAAATGACAAGAAAAATGCTTTTCATCGACCGTGAAGGAGGTAGGGGTAGGGGCCGGGATAATTAAGAACAAGAGTCACTACTTTACTAGATGAACTTTCATTTGTCTTTTCACTAAAAAAAATTATCTCATTGTGCACTTCTACTTTGTACATTTGAATTCGATACATCCATTATACATTCATCAATAAAATAATAATTGACATAATTATTTATCTTACCACTATTTATTAATGTTTAATTTCAAAGCACAAAATGATTTGAAATAAAATAATTGATGTTGAAATAGAACATAACTTCTTTTTCCTTTTCTGATATGTTAAAAATGAAAAATAAAATTGAATTTTCTTTTTGAAATTATGAATAAGTATAAGTAAATGAAGCACACGTTTCATGATTCTTTTCATCAATTCAATTTTCAATTTAAGGCCTTTATCAACATGTTACGAAACTCCAATATTAGAAGCATTAAGCTCTTAAAAAGAGGGCTAAGATTTATGGGTTAGCCCACACTTCACTAACCAAGCAAATAAATAGCTTTACATATTACGAATATCTCACCTTTTAGTTTACTTATAATCATTATCACTTATAAATTCTATAAATTTAATTATTTTTGCACGTCCATTAATATATATAGAAGCATCATATTAGTATATTTCGCGCATGAAATTAATGTAACTAGCATATCAAATTAATATATTATGTATAAAATATACCTCGCATATAATATTAGTATATCTCGCGCATGAAATTAGTACATGTTACGTATCAAATTATTATATCTTGCGCATTAAATTCATATATCAACGTTTATATTTTTATATCTGTGCATTAGATTAATGTATCAACGCTTATATTATTATATCTATGCATTAGATTAATAAATCAATACTTATATTATTATATCTGCTTTGAGCAATTTTTATAACAATAAAACTTCGAAAAGATGGATTGTAATTTAATTTGCCCGTTCTTTTACTTCGGCAATCGCACAAAGCATCGTAAGCTAAGATGATAATACAGTAGTACCGATCGATCAAACACATGCACACTCGGATAAATAAAGTAAAAAAACATATATATATATTAAATATATCAAAAGAGATAAAATTAAAAAAACAAACATATTTAAAACAGAACAAAAGTAACCCTGTGTTGGACAAAATGAAAAAAAAAAATGATTAAAACATGGAAGGAGAAGATGCATAGATAACCTAATGAAAAGCGGCAATCAGGCTCAAAGAGGAGAAGAAGTAGAGGTGCACTGAGAAGCACACTTCGATTCATTCAGGACATAGATCTTGAATCGAAAAATACATCGATCGCAAATCAAAATATAAGGTTAATATATAACCATAAATATTCATATGTTGTGTTTAACATATATAATTCACTAATGTATTTTAATATCTTAAGAAAACGCTGAAAAAATCAGACAAAAATTAAATTTTTAAAAAAGAATATCTAAGCTAAATGAGCCATACAATGAATATTCCTAATCTTAATATAAAGTTTCTTTGAACCAAAAGTCAATAAAAAGTCATTTCCATACCTTCGTAAGGTAGGGAACAAAACTATACATGTACTTTCTTCTTCCTTAGAAAACTCGACTTACGATATCACACCGAATATATTGTTTATGGTTACCTCCAGCTCCTAAAATACTGGAGGAACCAAGCTTCTTTTTGATTCAATATCCATACAAACCAAGATTCAGACTACAACATACATACCAATTAGTTTCTTCGTTATGCCCTCTTTCCCCAAGCACCATAGTTCCGACACAACAACTAGTAAGACTGACTAGAATTTGGTCACAACTTTACACACTCGTGTAGGATCTGGTTGTAGCTACATCAAGTATTCAACACATACACACAGAGACAGGATCAGAACAGGAAAAGGAAGAACATAGAAAAATACAGAAAGTTGTGAGCATGGAAGATAAAGGACTCACAATACAAAAAACCAAACAGGCATAACTACGAATTTCATTTCAGTAAATGACAAACTACAAGCAAATAAAATGAAATTGTATTGTCAACTTCAGAAAACCAAACCAAAACCTTGCAACTGTTAGCTAACTCATCTCAAGAAATGTACAGAATTATGTTTGTTTTGATTCAACTGTAACAGCTAAGTTCTCTCATCCAAAAAACTTATCAAGAATCAGCTGTAATTAGTACAAAAGCAAAAGGAACCGTGGTTCCTCAAAACCAAAAGAGCAAAATAATCAAAGAACATGTTTTAATGTATCCTATGTATTTTCCTTCTCGTCGAAATCTGAGAAAAGACCTCTTGAACTAACAATTTGAGAAGTTTCTGGAACAGCTTGAACTAACAATTTGAGAAGTTTCTGGTCATTGCATACAGTATGCAATATAGCAAACAAGATCATATACCAAGCCATGTTGCCAATGCACCAAGTCTACCAAATTCACCATGCCAAATTCCCCAATTCCATTAGAAATCCAAGACATCCAACTCATCCAAGCAGAAGTGGAAGTCCTCTTGCCGGCCTGGTCTCAGAAAATCAAAATCATAATCAACCTCGATAGGTGATTGTTGCTCCATTTGCTGCAGACCTTCCAATGTATCAACACCTGCATTATCCAACTGATATAATGGATTTGAGAACTGGTCATCGGCATTGTCCAACTGGTATGCTGGATTTGACAACTGATTGGCATCGTAGGCAGCAGAATGCAATTGATATGAAGGATCATAGGCATACTGCTCTTGCTTAGGAGGAACAAAACCAACATCCTGACTTGGAGCTGAGGCATCTACTGGAGTCGAGTCCATCATGCCTAACAGCTCATTTACATCAAACATCTCATCATCCAAACAAAAGTTACCTAGGTCCTCTTGTCCGATATCCCATGAATCATAACTACAAGCCGCAGGCTCATCTTTAATTTCAAAGGTCTCACTTTTATCTAACACCTGCTTAGCCTCATCTTCCGCTTGCTCTCTCAACGAGCTCAGAGGTGTAAAAGTCTCACTTTTATCTGACACCTCCTTGGTCTCGTCTTCCGCTTCCTCTCTCAATGAGCTCAAAGGCGTTCCAATTTCATTAGAACCAGTCCTAGCACCGTCAATTTCTATTGATCTATCTTCATGTCTTGCCGCAGGAACATTGGCTCTTCCTCTCATCATGTCACCAGCAGGGCACACCTCAGAGAAACTTGATGCTGTATTTGAGTCGGAACGAGATACAGTAGGCAACGAAGAATCATCCTTGGAAGACTCTTTCGACGAGGCGTAATAGTCCGGGAGATTCAGCCTTGCACAAGGACCATACATCGCCCTTGCAGCTTCATCATAAGCAAGAGCAGCCTCAATTGCCGTATCAAACGTACCCAACCAAAGCCTTCTCCCTCTATGTGGCTCCCTTATCTCAGCAACCCATTTACCCCATGTCCTTTGCCTGACACCTCTATACTTGCACCGCCCGTTATCCGGTCCTCCTTTACCCTTCATACATCCCTTCTTTGATCCTTTAGCAGGAACTTTACGCACTGGCTTCCTTCCATCATCATCACACGCGTCTAATTTCTCATTCACCTCTTTCCACTTCGCAAGTGTCTCCGCTACATTCTTTGGTGCATCTTTTCTACTCCTTGATTTCTTCTTCCTTGTATAATCCATAGGTAACATCATATTTGAAGTTCGATCAAGCACAGCCATATATCTGTTTCTGTCAGTCAAGAAGAAGAGAAAAAATGTCAACTATGTTACTACTACTAGTATTTATAAACCAAGCTAGCAGCAAAAAGCCTTCGCAAACAAGTCAAGCCGCAGCCTTCAATTAAAAAAAAATACTTCCTTTCTCTACAAGTAACCTAATAAAATAGAGAAAAAATATTCTTCTTCTTCGCCACCAAGTAACCTGCTGCTTCCATCCAAAAATCCAGTTCATAATCCTCTTCCACACTATCTCTTACCAATTCAGTGTTGATTACTCAAAAGATCCCTCGAGTATGGTCGAAACTATCACATAAATTAAGATCGAGAAGAAAGTAAACCTTCCTAAACAGAAATAACTCCCTTTTCTTCATCACCAAGTATCCTATTGTTTTCCTCCAAAAGACTAATTTCACACTATCACTTACCAATTCAGAATTGGTTTCTCAAAATCAGTCTTAAAAATTCAATTCGCTCTCTTAATTTTAAAAAATTCATATACAGAAGATAGATAACCTTTCTAGATAAAAAAAATAATCCTCATTTCTCCGCCACTAAGAAACCAATTGCTTCCATTCGAAAATCTAATTTCACACTATGAACTAACAAATCGATTCAATTCCTCTTATAACAAATTCGTTCAGATAATTTCAAATGTGAGTTTTTTGAGATCATAACTCATTTTCATTTGATAAATAACAAATCAACCCAATAACTACAACACAAAACATCAATTCAATTAATACAACACAAAACATGAAATCGCAATGCCAATTCCATCATCCAATTAAAACCCTAAGAAGCGATGTCATCTCCGTCAAACCACTCAAAAAACAAACAAACAAACAAAATTCTCACATACACTCAAAAAAAACTCCAACGAGTAATCGAACATATATTCAAACTGCAATAAAAAAAATCAAGGATGAAATGAACTCACCTCACAATTATACAGTTCCAAAACTTGACAATCTCTTTAATCAACAATTATTTGAAGTTTTCCGCTTCACGAATACACTAATTTCTCCTCCTCCTTCCTTATATGTGATTTTGGTATGTTCCAGTACTTTCTTGAGAGTTAAAATTTTTTTCCAGAAAAGAAAACAGAGAAAATAAGGAAAACTGAACAGGTATTTATAGACATCCGCAGATATTTTATTTTATTTATAAAATATCTTGTGTTTCTAAATGTGGTGACGTGGCAAAGATTTGTTTGAATCGTGGCTATTTGACTACCGCGGGACACGACACGTGTCAGCAGAAAATTCGAGAACGTTTTGGTTTCAACTTTTCTTTAGGTAGAAGAAATCATGTTTTGTTTAAACCTTTGACCTTTGAGTTCAATGAATTTACAATTATACCACTTTCAGTTCTAGACTGATCTAATTTGTTTTAGTGAAGAGATTACAGCTGCCCGAATACGTAATAAGCTAATCGAGAAGAGGGTAGATCTGTATATTCTAAATATGTATTGATAACTGATTTTTGAAGTATGTTTATAAATAAGAGTAATTTTTTTTTATTAACTTAGTGCAATAGTAGATATTACTCATATTTGGAGTTTTGAAGATGTACACCAAAAAATATTAATGGACTTTGGTGATAAAAGTTACTTGTGTGACAGTTATCGTTTAGAAATTTCATAGAATAATATATCATGTTGAATTTAGGTTGATAGTTAGACTATCATTGTGAGAATAGGTAATTGAAAAAAGAAAGAAGAAGATGTGTGTATATATATTTATGGATGTAATAATTGAGATGTATTTGTTGGAATTTGAAAGGTATTAAAGCTCTAATTTTTGTGATTGAGTTGTTATTTTTTAGGAGTTTCGATTTTTTTCAAACGATTATGATTTTTCAGAAAAAGGGTTATGATTTTTTTAAAAAAATTGTGATTTTTATGAAGGTTTGAAATTTTTCTGAAGAGTTGTGACTTTTTCTAATGATTGTGACTATCTGAAAAGTTGTGACTTTTTTGAAAGATTGTGACTTTCTGAAGAATTGTGATTTTCTCGAAGGATTGTGAATTTTTTCAAATGTTGTGAATTCTGTGAAGGGTTGTGACTTTTCCGAAGGGTGTGTCTGTTTTGAAAAGTTGTGATTTTTTCTAAAAGCCGTAACTTTTTAAAAATTTGGGCTTTCCGATAAGGCACAAAAATCACATGTTTATACTACTATTTGTTGTCAACATATAAAGAGATTTTCTCTCATTTTTTAACAATAAATTTTCTAAACTTTTTCTTATTCTGCAAAAAACAAATTTTAGTATTTTTAGAGTTGAGTGGTTCGTTAATGCTGTGTTTATAGATATTTTGAACAGTTGAGTAAGATCATTTTATTCTAGAAAGATATATGTCATTAATTTCAAATACTTTAAGAGAATAATTTTTTTAAAAACACAGTATACATTTAGTAGACTCAATTTTCATCATTTGATATCTTTACTCTATTTTATCTATTTCATATTCTTTTTTTTTTTACTGATTTTGAAAATATTTCTTCAAATTTTGTTGTTTCATGCAAGTTCATTAAAGTTGCTATTCTAAATATTTTAATATCAAGTAATACAAAATAGCCAACAATATCTTAAGGATATAGACGTTTAAAAAAAACAATTAACCAAACAATATTTTATTAATAATATATACACCTTGTATTTGTTTAGCCCACAAGATGAAGGATTAAGTGTAAAAGATTATTTTTGGATCATTGTTTAAATGTTTGATTTGATAATAAAGTTGACCACTTGACTACTTATCGTATGTATTAGCTAAAATTAAGTTAAAGATCGTATTTATATAAAATATTTTTAATTGAATAATAAATTGATTCACGATCATATATTTAAGAATAAATTCAATTAATAAGAATTGTGTGATGACATTGATAGATCATTTTTGTTATAATTATCTGAATTATGATGAAATAATAAATATTTTTCATTGTTAAATTACCTTTTAAATATAAAACTATTTATATTTTAAAAGAACATCTCACTATTAAATACCAAATAAAAAAAGAAAAATTTCAATATAAATATCGAACACTTTAGCGATCGTTTTATAAGGATAAAGTGGGACCAATAAGATACGATCTCCACACGTGCATGTGTTACACTTATCAATTTGCCGGAATGCTTTGACGCGTTAGATAAGAGGCCCATGTCATCACTTACCTCTCAATGACCATTTTAATTTTAAACAAATAAATTAATAAAAATACCTAGACAAACAAATTTAAATAGAAAGAAGAATTTTAACAAGTTCATTATAATTTTATAAGTATGAATAGAAAATTATAATGCATTGTCGATGTGTTTAATGTATAACTTTTAAAATTGTTGTAATACATTATTTTAGTAAATTTTAAAAGAGTGTTATTTTTTTAATAAAAATTAGCATTTCTCCTTTAAAACTTTAAGTGAAATTATTTCTAAACATATAAAAGTTTAAAATTGTATCAAGTCAATTATTTTTTAATTTTTTTATTTATGATACTTTAAATAATATCATATAAATAAAAACAGAATAAGGTAACACGTTTCTCAACATTGCGTCGCAATAGATGATAACTTTCCCCTTTTAAAACACTTAGTAGAAATTGGGCCAATGCATATCTTCCTTGCTATTGGGACAAAGTAAACTAGGCCCATTATTGGTACCATTTACTCTATGATATCAATTACACAAATATGTTTTAGGAAAAATAACTTAAATACACAAATATAAGTTTAGTATTTTCTAATTTTCCCCTCCCCTTTTTTTTAAATATTACATAATTCCTTTTTTTTAATTTTAGTAGAAGTTTAGAGATACATAATTTTCTCTCTCCTATAACACACACTTCCCCGTATCATGCCTATTTTTTCTCCACTAAAACACTCAATCTTCTGAATCACTTTTTGAATTTTGAATTTTGAATTTTAATTAAAAATGTTTCACAACATTTAATATGAAATTTTAAATTTCAAAATTCAAAATATTTGAAATTTCTGAAAATTGGATGCTTGTGCTCATGTGGTGCTTGGAAAAGACGTTTTCTCTCTCTCTCAATAAAGCCTGGGTTTGATTGTGCCTTTGCCATGGGATATGTACTTGGGCTTGATCAAATCCAAGTTGATGATTTTGCTGAAAATCGGGTCGATGCCGACCCAATTATCACAGACGATCCCAATTTTTCTTCTTAATTTTTCTCTATGAAAGAGTTTTAAATTATATATATTTGTTTATAGTTTTGAACTCTTTGAAAAATCAATCTATTCTTTTTTGTCTTTAATGTTAAAAAAAGAATCCTACTAACTGAATCTGAAATTATTCCCAATTTTTACCGTAAATTTTTATTATATATCAGTGATTAATTTCAATAACTGCGCCATCAAGTGTGCTTGTTGATACATTTTGAATCAGTGTA